AGGTTCTATCTAGATCACCTAATGAGCCTAGGCCATAGACCACCTCTGGAGAAGTGATGTATATTTGGCTCATGGCCCTGAGAAAGTGTTCTAGGAGAATGGGACCCATGATATGGGCCTCAGAAGGCAAATGACCCTGGTAAAGTCTAGTGGGTAGCAGGAAAGGTAGGGCCTGAACGCCTGGGTCCCCAAAGAGATGCAGGACTGGGGATAAGATATCTAGGTGTGGAGGTGGGGGCAGAAGTTAAAGAATTATATTAAGAATTGCATTCCAGGTTTCTGAAAGGAAAAAAGGAATGGCGCCTGAGTCCCTAAAGGGAGCAGAGGCTGGGATGGCAGCAAGCTTAGTGTATTTGTCCGAGGGGCACAGGGACTGTTAAACTGGATTCTCAAGGGGATAAACACTGGGAAACTGGATTCCTGGGAAGCAAGGGTTATCAGCTGGGTCCCGCAGAGGAAGTGAGCACTAATAAGCTTCCAGAACAGGGTGGGAGTTGGATGCCTGGGTGCCAAGGTCCCTAAGGTGGACAGGGAAGGAAAATTCAGAAACCCTTCCTAGCTTCTCAGGGAGCAGCTTAAGTCCCAGAAACGGGGTGCCGAGAACCGGGCCAAGAGTCTGGGTGGCAGAACCATGAATCAGAACGGGGCGCCCGGGTCAGGGAGGGCCCGGGTATCCCCGGGTCAAAGGCGCGGCGGGAGGGATCCCTGTGCCGCCTGCGCCCCCTCCCTGGCGGTGGCAGCATGAGATGGGGGGAGGCGAAGCTGCCTAGTGCGCTGACCATGGACAGCTCCGGAGCGGGCCTGTGTCCAGGCGGCCACCAAGCCGGCCTAGACCGAGAGACTCTACCGACTGTTCAAACCGGAGGCTGGCCACCGGTAGACAGGGTGCGGGAATGGGAGATGATGCGGACGCGACAGGGGGTGGCCGGCAGTGGCTGGGGTAGTCTGACAGAGCCGCGCGGTATCTGGAGCTTCCAGGACTGGGCCGAGAAGGGGGATCTAGGTTCAGAGAGGGTCCCGGGGCTGAACTGGGAAATCCAGGCTCCTGGGCCCTGGAGGACGCGCAAGGCGGAGGTACGCCTAGGATTCTAGGGTTCGGTTGGGGACTCTGGGTGCTGGGAGGGGCACGCCTGAGTCTTTGGGGTTGGGCTGTGATATCTGGCTCTGAGGTCCCCAGGGATAAGGAAGAAAATCTAGGATTTCGGAGAGGCGGGGGAGGCTCCCCGAAGGGTCCCCAGGGTGGGCGCTGCCAGGCGGGCCGGGCCGGGCTCTCACCTACCTGGTCCGCGGCGGCTGCGGGAGGAGCTGGGTTGCAGGAGGGACGTGGGGTGGGGTAGGGGGACCGGGCGGGGCCCCTGGCGACGGCCGGGGCCCGGATCTGTAGCACCGGAGCCCTGTCTCCACAGCTCGCGCGGGCTCCGCGTCTCTGGCTCCGGCTTGGGCGCTGGGGACCCCCCTCCCTCTCACGGTCTCACAACCCCTCTACCCCTTAAAATAGTCCCCTACCCCTGTCACCATTCAGCCTCCCCCCGCGAGGCCGCAGCCACCAGATCCAGGGGTGCCCACCAGCGCCCCCCAAATCACACTTTCCCCCCAAAAAAATTTCCTCCTCCCTCCCCCTCCCCCCCACAGGACCCGGGCAGTCGTGGCCCCTTTAACAGGAGACTGACAGACGGTGCCGAGTGGCCAATGGGAGGCGGTGTCGGCGCCGGCCGGCGACTAGACCCCGCCTCCTCACGGGCCGGGAGGGGTCGCGCGGGCGGCGAGGGGGAGGCGGGGCGTAAGGCCCGTCGACCTATAGGCACGCAGCGTGCGGCCGCTGGGGCGGGAGGCGGAGCTCGGCAGGGGGATGATGTCACCTGGAGCGAGTAGCGCGCGGCGTGGAGCGCGAGTCGCGACCCCGGATTCCGACAGCTGTGGGCGCCGAGCCTCGCGCTGCACAGGACACGAGAGCTGGGCGGGCAGCGGGATGGAGATAAAGGTTGGATTTTAAGGCGGGGGCAGCTACCGGAAAGACGTACTCTGGTTGGAAGGTGGAGTGCCCGCCCGTAGGCGAGTGCACCTTATTCTGCACCCCTGCGCCCGCCTCGGGAACTGCACGCGGCACCCCCACCCGCGACTCCCACGCAGACGGTAGCGAGGCCTGCTGAGTTCTGCGGGCGGACGAGGCTAATGGTTTGTTCCACCCCGCCCACACACAGGCAACCCCCTGGTTCCTGCGACGATTCAGGGACTCTGCAGGAAGGGGTTTGCTTGGCCTTTGCCCTCAGACTTAAGGGTCGATGGCATTGTCTTTAATTCTTTCCCGCACTCAGCCTCAGACTGGGTTCCAGCCTCTGCCCTCGGACTTGTCCCTCCTAAGCCAGTTCGCCTCTGCCTTCAGACCTGGGGAGAGGTCTCTACCTCTGCTCTTCAGGCTGCTCTTAGTCTGACCTCGACTCCTCTCTCCTCCACATCAAGACACTCTAATCCCAGGATGCAGGACATACACATACACACAGACACTCAGTGAGGGTCAAAGATCTTTAAATAAGGAGCCATTGACAATAAATACTGTACAGGGAAGAAGATGAAGGTGAGGGTCCAGATCTGTGGTTTCAGCCTCGAGACTCCAAGGACCTGCAAGGGCAATGAAAGGAGAGAAGCCGTGCTCAGAGGAGGGAGCTAGGGAGCATGAGAAAGACAGGACTGGCATTCCAGAGGCAAGGGCCCAGGGAAATGGAGTGAGGGATTCCAGCCAGAGTAGGTTCCACATCTTGGGATGGGAGGGAGGTAGGGGTATTTGGTAAGAATGTCCTTGGCTGGAAACCTGGGTCAAGGTTCAGGATCCCAGAGAAGAGAGGCCAGGGCTGGGGATGCAATCCTAAGAATCACTGGACTGGACTGGGAGGCTGGGATTAAAGGGAGGCAATGGAGTCCCCAAGTACATTGGTGACCAAGGGGCTCACGAGTAGCTCTGGTGCTGCTGGCGCCGGCGGGCAGAGCGCATCTTCTCAAATCGGGCCTCCATCTCCTCCAGCACTCGAGGTGTGTAACGCACCACTAGTTTCACTGAGCCCTGGGCTGCCTTCAGCAGCTCCACTGCCTTCTCATGCTGCTCACCCTCAACGCTCTGTGGGGCCCAACACAGACAGCTGGGCCTGGAGCCTGCTGCTCTTACCCAGGCCCCTGTAGGAAATGCAACCAACTACTGGTGAGCCTGGTGCCAGCCCTGAGATGCCAAGGCATTGTGTCCTCCTCATGGGAGTCATTAACTCTTCCCTCAGTGCCTTTCTCCAAAACCTTCTGGTTTCCCTCAGTCTCTAGCCAGATGTCCAAGCCCATCTTTGTTGCCCTTTTCCCAAAGTCCACTGATAACCCCCTTTTGTCTCCCTCTTCTTTGTGACCATAGCCCTGGCCCCGGCTCAGGTCTTGTCTTCTCCCCTCTAGACTCTAACCCCAGCCTAATACCTGGCCTCTAGCCTCCTATCTCTCCCCTCAGTCCATCTCCCATAGAACCCCAGATGGGCATTTCTATGCCTACAAGCTGAGCTTATTCCTCACTTACAGCCTCCTCTGGCTCTTCGGCATCCATAGGACAAAGTCCCAGTTCTCAGACTGGCATTCAGGCCATGCATGACTGACCCCAAACTTTTATCAGTTATGCTTCCATCTACTTGAACCACAGTGATTTTAATTGCCTGCATGCCACAAGCCTCCATTAGAACTGTGTCATAGTCCTTACCTACAACACCCCCAGCCTTGTTTGCCTGGAGAACTCCTATTCATCCTTCAACACCCAAAGCAAATGTTACTCTATAAAAACTTCGTACATCTATATTGTTCTGTACCACATCTGCACTCTCATAAAGCTTTGTGCTTCCTCATTATTATGTCTCTAGATTAGGACTGTTTCAGTCAGGGTCCACCTCACTTAATCAGAGAGGAAGAGTCTAGAGTGTAGGAGCTGATGCCAACTTTTCTCAGCGTCTCCAGCATTGTCCAACACAGGGCTGGCCATAAAGACAGTGCTCAGTGTGTGTTAAATGAATGTTAACCAGAGGACTATGATATCTTGGACAACTGTGCCCCCAGTACTATATCAGTACCCCACTTACCACACCATTCACCGACAGCAGTTGGTCCCCACGCTTGAGGCCTCCATGGCGGTCAGCCACACCTCCTGGGATGACTCGGGATATATAAATGGGTGAGTTCTGCTCCTTGCCACCCATGATGTTGAAGCCTAGGCCCTCATCTGTCTTGGGCAGCTCCACTACCCTGGGATGTGCATGGCCCTCACTGGCCGTGAAGGCAGCTACTGTGGCCTAAGAGAGAGAAAGTGTCAGGAGGTGAGAGGGTCCCTTCATGGTAGGTATACAGGCTAGGGTGAGGGATCTAGGCCAGGGAGAGTGACTTAAGCCAGATAACTACCCCCAAGCACAAGATACCTGCCATGATTCAACATGAGAATAATGACTGTATGTCCTTTTGGTTCCCTCTGCATGATTCTGACATGCCAAAGAGGAAGTCACTATTTGTTGTGTGTCATAAATACCCTACACTTGACAATCTTGCTTTTTTGACAGAGGAAAACAAGGCCTAGAGGGAGCTAAGAGCATGAGACAGCAACAAGAGGTAGCATCTTAGGCTGGGTGCAGCGGCTCATGTCTGTAATCTCAGTACTTTGGGAGGCCGAGGTGAGTGGATAGTTTGAATTCACGAGTTTGAGACCAGCCTGAGCAAGAGTGTGACCCCATCTCTAAAACATAGCTGGGTGTTGTGTGTGACAGGCACCTGTAGTCCCAGCTATTGGGAGGCTGAGGCAACTTGGGCTCTTTTGAGCCCAAGAAGTTGAGGTTACTGTGAACTATGATGCCACCACACTCTACTGGGGACAAGAAAGTGAG